TCGGGAGGGTGGCAGAAATATAAAATCAATGAGCCTCAGGATGACGCTGTATAGTTCAAGTTATGCAGCCAACTCTGTATTTCAATGACCAGCACTCAAGTATATACCATTCAGAGAAGGGCTGAACTTTGTCTATTTGTACATTAAACAGACTGGCAGAGGCTTGCTATGATGTACAGACTTACTACAGAGAACACTAAAATCCAGATGCACTCACTTGCATGAACACAGACACTGCAGTTCTTGCAGGTGATGAGTACGCTGGTTCCGTCTTCCTCTAAGTAGGGAGTTGAAAGATTGAGGTCAGTGCTGCAGCCAGTTGTAGTAAAGCACATTTCAGGAATCAGGGGTTTGGTTCGTATCTTCCCATCCACAGCAGCTGGATTTACTCCAGAGTTTTGACTGTTGCCTCCACACTCTGCCTATAAGGGATGGACAGGGAATTTAAGTTTTACAAGTAAAACTGTGTCACATGATCTTTACTCACCCATTATTCCATATATAACTCCAGTTTAAGGAAACAATGAAGGTGCTGAAAGATTAAAGAGTTAGTAGGTTAGGCAAAAATACAGTTAGTTTATAAAATTCTCAGCTATCGCAACTTCAGAATGAAATTATTTTCTACTGAAATGGCTAAATGTAGGGTCTCAACTGCATTCCTCTAATAAGCAACAAGATACACATCAAACTGTGTCTCTTCTGACAGAAAAGATGGAAATCACCAAGTTCACCTCATGTTCTATGGGTAACATTTCTGGTGCATTCCTCCCATCCCCTAATACAGAAGATCACAACACTGCCATCCAACATTGTACATTTATCTTACCTCAATATGGGAGGATTATGATCACACAAATAGATACCTATTGCAATCCTCATTATTTTTTCCTAGTGTAATTCTGAGTAAGTCTAATGGGCTTTGAAACTAATTTGTTCCTGGGAAATAAGCACACTAAAAATACAGTTTCCCCAGTTAAAGCTCAGGAGACTTTCAGGCTAGTCTTCAGTAATTTATTAATATAAACCAATGTCAAACCGAACAGAAATTACATGTAAAGTTTACACAGATATGCTTCCATTCAAGCTACCCTTCTTAACAGCTAAATAGAAACGAATTTTTCACTTTGAAGAAATGTTTCAAACCATCTTTTGTACTTCATAGCCACCACAAAAGTAGCTTGCCTAATCTTCTAAAATCATTATTAGCAGAAACTGCAGTACCAGAATGAAGCTGCGCTGTCCCTCCCACAGTGCATCAAAAGGTAGGGAAAAAAGTGCAGGTAAGGATTACAGTTGGAAGGAAACTGACACGTTTTCAACAAGTCTTGTTTATTCAGGTTCTGTAAAACTTACTGATTTACACTGAACATTGCATGCCAAGCAAAAGACTAAATGACTGAAGGAAATCTGTAACAAAGTTGAAGAATATGCGACTTTGTCTTCCAAGCAGCTAGATACTTTTCCTCTTCACAAAGGAAAAGTGAATATTTGTCTGGCTTTTTGTGCCAATTTTTTATTTGAATGGGTAGCTGAAGTGAGTTCCCAGTCTTGCTATAGACTTTCTGAAGTTGGAACAAAGACCCTAACCACAGCTCAAATCTTGGAAGAGTTTCTGCTTCACCGCCTGGTGTAGACAGTCATTTGAAAACCTGCAGCTAGAGTTTTCTGCTTAATAGCATTTAGAACTCAAAGCAGCTCACAGAACTTAAACTGTCCTCAAATTGTTAACTTTATACATTGTCAGCACTAGTGAAATCCCCATGCACTATGGGGCTTCTATGCAGAATTTCCAGTCCTAACAAGAACCACTCTCAGACAGAAACAGCAAGATTGAACAGAAACTATAGTCTATGGTTTTCATTGAAATTAGGAACTATATGCAATACAAACCCCCAACAAAAATTTGTGGTCTTTATTTCCAAAACTGTGGTGAACATGTTTCTAGTGCCATCATAATCATACAGTGATCTCAAATGAATCAAATACGCTTAGCATATGGGAAGGGACAATTGATCTCTAAATTGCAGGTTGAACGTGCAATCAGACAACTATTCAAACTACCTTAAAATTACGTAGCTTAGGCACAGCAAAAAATTCAGTGTGGGAGTCCTGCTTAAGCATTTAGTCAACATGACAAAGGGGCTCTGCAACCCGTTCCAAGCTACGCATTGGTACAGCCGCACTTTGTTAAAGTCCGTTTTCATGTGCCATAGCTACTGTTAATATGGGTATATTCCAAGACAAGTCAGCTTTCTATCTATGTCATCCACAAGCACAACCCTAAAGCCTTTTAAGTAAAAGGTTTTCCTCCTTGCCCATTCTGCAAAGTCCATGAGCTCTGAGTGGACTTAAAGTGTTTTTTAAAAAGTGTAGAAGTGAAAGTGTCAGTCTGGAAAACAGAAATGGGATTTTATAGTCAGCTCCAGCAACATTCAAGCTCCATTCTGTGGTTCGAGCAAAAGCCACAGAACACAAACGCTTCAGCTGAACAGCTGAGCGAGCCCCTGGGAACCCACAGGCAGTCCATCACAGGTGTGGTCAGATTCACCCAACTGTGCTCTCCTGGAACAATGGCTTGGGAAGTCTGCAACACTGATACAGCTTTTGTTAACTGGCAATATGCAAAATGACATTTTAAAAACTATGCATCACAGCAGCAACCTATTCAGTTATCTCTACGATAACATTAACAGACTCAGTCTACATACCTGATATGTCTGGAATAGCATACAAACAGCACAGTAAGGAGACTGCTGAGCCATAGTCCGATTGTATTCTTTTTCAGCCTCAAAATTCGGTGGCCGATTCTGCCACAGCTGGCTAAGTGGCTTGGCCCATGCTTCTGTCTCCTCAGCCTCTTCTTCAGGAGTTAGTTGCTCTGATGCCTCTGCAGTAAGAGATCATTAACTCACTGATTATGTGTCCTTTTATAGATATCCTTCTTGCAAACGAAACTAAATAAGGCAAGAAGTTATGAATGGAGATGAGAGAAAGACTGCCAGAAATCAAGCTGACAGAAGGGTGAGGGGAGTCAGTAATCCAGTCTCCTTTTTAAGAGGCAGTGTTAATCAGGCAACTGTGCAGACACAAGATAGGCTTACCGGGCGAGAACACCACCAGCTCCAAATTATGTCAAGACTAAGGCTGTCAGCCAAAGAATCTGGTGTTCGTTTGGGTTTTGGGGTGGTGGGTTTGTGTTTTTTCTTTTGGGAGGGTGTTGTTTTTTTTTTTAAATCAGTTACTGGAATGCTCTAAGGTAGACCCAATTATGCAATAGTCTCTGGTACTGGTTTAATTTTCCTTTCAGAGTTGTGACTTTTCAAATAATGGAATGGGAAGGAAAGAAGATACCATTTGAGAGAAAAGTTGAATGAGGCAAGCACAAAAAAAGAAAAAAAAAAAAAAGAAATAAAGCACCTTGTGTAGGATGCAGAGATGTCACTTGCTGACTCCTGTTTATGACCAGTTACTTAATGGAATACTCCACACTGTCCACAGAAGCCAAGACCGTCACTACAGTTTCCTAAAGAGCACAAGGCTTACTTACCATCATCACTAATGCAGTCTTTAACCAACAGCGGGTGATGGCGTGGGAGCTTGCTCAACGGCTGGCGACGACCCTTGGACTTCTTACTCTCCTTCATCGATCTTATGTACTCCTTTGCTACCTGGACAAGGAGAAACAATTCAGCAGTCAATTAGCACGTGTCCTTTTGACACTATTTTAAAAAGAATTTATTTTGAACTAAAAGAAGCCTCCACAAAATGCACACATGCTTCCATGATTTTATTTCTAACAAACTAACATTGGCTCTGAACTAGCTAAGTTTTTGAAAGAATTGCTTGCACCACTTTTGCTAGGGAAAAACAGAGAGCTGTCCTTGCTCTGTTGAGCCATTAGAATAGAGACTTTTCACAGTTCCCAGTGTAACTTTTCATGCAAGTCTGTTTATGTAAGAATTCTGTAAAAGACAGAAACAAAGACAGACAAGTTGAATGGTTCAACTTAGAAGAGTCATGATAATAAGTCTCACGCGTTCTGAAGAAATCCCCAGTTTGTGTGTCAAATTCCAAATTTAAAATAAAAAATTAAAAAAAAAAAATTTACAGATTTTATTGGCATCTTGAACTAACAAGCTTATTTAAATGAAGGAAACTTTCACTCTCTCTGCTTATTACTTGCACTGATGTCTTTCCAGACAGACTGGAAGAAGGAGACTACAACAGTTATTTCCTCTTCCCTTAGCCTTATACAAAAACAAGTGACACACTGACAAAATTACCACTAACCTGACAAACAAGGCAATAAAGGCAATGATTTTAACCACCCAGGAAGTCTCTCAGTAGATAAGAACCCTGCCCTTTTTTTTTTTAATCTGTATTCTTTTAAGAGCAGAAACAGATCTTAGATTAAATGCATATTTTTAAATCTTCTTTTCATAAAAGAAGCCAGAGAGCGCATAACAATCATTATCTCTGATCTCCTACAAAGAGCTGGATACAAGACTTCCAAGAAACAGAAATGCTTTTATTCAAATGGAAATTAGCATTCCCAGTTACCATCTGATGGAAAATTTGTTTTGAAATACACCATACTGGGGAAAACAATCTACACCCATTCAAAATCTTGCCTCTTCCCTGAATGGAGTATGCAATGGCGACATCAGTATCAGCAACAGAATTTCTTTGGTTTAAATATCCATGAGAACTCCTTCTCAGTTTCACCTTAATTATCAACAGATTTGCCCATTTGCTATTCCATTTCTGTAATTCAGGAATTTCGAAGACAATCATTATCAGCCTCACACTCTCTAAACACAGATTTAAAGAGGGAAACCAAGTAATTTGAAAAGACACCACCAGGTAAGATTTTAACTTTAACGGCCTTCTCTTGGGTTGTCTAATAAAACATTCACTGGCAGGTCTTGAACGCTCAGATTTACATTCTCCCAACCACTAATTTTTGTTCCATCATTTCTTTTTTAAAAGGGACACAGAGATGTACACATGCACATGGTTCTATATCAAAGTAACAAAAAACCTCTCAAACTTAATAATGTGCTCGTAATAAAGGCTGGATTGAACTAGATTCATTTCAGGTACAAATAGGTGTTTATTACTATAAAAGAACCTGAATCAGCCTGTAACACTATCATGTCAAAACCACCAAGCTACCCTTTCCCTTAAAGAGCTTAAATAATTTGGAGAAGTTCTCAAAACAAGGGATCTCCCTGTTTTGTAGAAGAGGTAAGAGTATGACTTTCATCTTAATTCTTCTCTCATCTTAATTTGTTTAGCAAAACCCATAGGTATTAAAAACCACACTAACAACTAAGCAACCTGCTATGCAAACACCAATGGAATAAAAATGTAATCTGCACAGATAGGAAGTTTTTTCACAGCAAGTCCATGACCACGTAACACAGCCCTTAAGCTTTCAGCACTCTTGCCATTCATACCTCTGCCAGTTCTTGCTCATTCACACTGGACGTGGCACTGGCTTTCTTTCCTGAAGTCTGTTCATTGTCAGATCCGCTAGCATCCCCTTTAGCATAGCTATGGACTGTAAGCACCCCAGCCGGCCCAGGAAGAGTTCGTTTTGCCAACAGATCAGTTGATTCAGAGTCTGAAGAACCAGAATACGCAGGCGAGCTGGACTGAACACTGGATGTTGCACTCTGCTTTGAAGCTGGCAACACTGAAGCGGAGTTTGAAGCATGTGAAATGGAGAGATCCAATGCAGCTGCTTCTTGTTCTTCCTCTTCAAGCTTCACTGTTTTCAGTTCTTCAAGTTTGGCTGAGTCCATACGATCTAGAAGAAAGGACATACTGACTTTTTCTACAGTCTGGGCAGCAGAAAGAACATTTTTGCAACCATTTGCACAAAGCCAAACAGGAAAGCAAGCTTCTACACACAAAAAAGTGACATTCTGTCATATAAAGAGTAGATCATTAATTCAAACACCTATAAAATCATGAATGGCTCAGCTAGGGAGAAAATAAAAGCATTTGCTCATTGCCTCTTCCAGTACAAGAACTAGGGTACATCAAACAAAACCAGCAGACAGTGAGTTCAAAATAAACAGAGATGACCCTTTATATACTGTAGCTAAACAGCCCAACTCCTGGCCACATGATACCGTGTATAAGAGGTTACAGGGGTTCACAAGAGATTTAATAGAAGAAAAATAAAACCCCACAAACCAATAGAAGATTATTAAATACAAGCTGCAAAGGGCTGGAAAACAGAATACTAGAGGGAGGCATCACATATGTTTGCTGTGTTCTTATATTATTCCATAGGCCCCTTGCTCCTCCCTTAAAAGCAACGATAACTGACTCATTACAAGCCACATTAATTTTCCTCCAGCCTACTTATTACAAAACTACAAATAAAACATCTATACAGCACACCCGACCCACACTACCAGGAAGTGTGCATATGTTTTACCAAGCAATTTCTACAAGAAGGTCACATTATACAAAAGGGATACACAAGACCTTAGACTACTGAGGCATCCTATACATTTCTGTAGGCAGACAGGCAAAATAAAAAGAGTAAAAATCAAAAGATATAAACACCAATTTCTTAAGCAAGTCTCACGCAATACTTCCTGTTCCCTTTAATTCAGCTGAAAGGCAACATCCCTGTGACCTACCTGGTCAGTCAGTCATTGAAGCAGCTACAGTGTGGCTGCCTACACCTTTGTTCTCCCCCAACATTTTTTTTATATAATTCTCACTGGGGAGTTATCCAGAGATAGGCCACAAATCCTAAAAATTCAAGCTGTGGTTATTTCATTTACTCAAACCAGTGCTAGAAGTATTAGAAAAATTTAACTAAAGGGCACAACCAGAAATTGTTCTAGATGCACTCTTTGGTCTTGAAAAATCACATGGCAGTATCTCAAGTCTGATGACAGTAAGTTTCTGAAGTGCTTGCCACGGCTCCGACAAAATAGTGTCTGCTTTTTTGGACATGGTAACATCTTACCAACTAGCATCATATGAAAGAGTACCCCAGATTAAGCTCTCCCAGCTTCTCTCCCTGAAGAATAGTACTCTGCCCCTTGTACTAGAATAAAGCTCGACACACAGTTATTACCTGGAAGCTTGAGCCTTTGTTCACCTTGCTGCACAAGTTCACTCGTAGGTCTCTCACGAGACGCTGCCATGTCCGCTTCATACTGCGCAGAGCTCAGCTCCTCCTTGGGGAAGGCCTCGCTCTCACTGACCTCCTGAGGCACTTCCAGACAGACCCTGTGTCGTTTTGTTCCTATGCGATGCTTGGGGACGCTGCAGAAGACAAATCTGTATGTCAGGTTACCAAACACGTACGAGTGTTGAATTTCTGTCTGGATGCACAAAACACAGCCTGGTTTGGATCAGTGTTTTATGAGACAGCATCTGGCACGCCAAATAGTTTCCCAATTATTCTGAAGTGTTTTCTTTGCCTTTACAGAAGCAGAGTCAGAAATCCTTAGGGATGACTCCTCAGCATCTGTTAATCATGTATTAGGCAGGTATGTTCTAGCCAGGCATTCTTTACCTTAAACAAAAAAAACCCAAACCAAACTAAACCAACAACAAAACCACCACCAAAGACAGCTTTAGGAATAGTAGCTGACAATGGCTGAAAAGATTTAACTGCAACATGTAAGATGATTAGCCTGTCACCTTCAGCAACCAGGAACTGCACACTGATGTCGCAGCTTGCAACACTGATAGGACCAGAATTTGCCAGCAAGTATTGTCCCATGAGCCCAATAAACCCCGTTTTATTTCTGGCCTCCCAGTGTACGCTGGACACTTCCAATCCAAGCTTTGGATGACTATCCAAAGATGAAGAACTACATTCCAAGCTGCTGTACTTCCTGTCTATCACAGACTATCATCAATGTGGACTCAAACAGTAAGAAAAAAAAAAAAGAAAGAGAGTAAACCCTATTCCCAAGAAAACAGATTAGTGCTAACTCTGACTTCTATTGGTAAATGTTCAGTTGCAGCTGGGTCCAATTTCTAATAATCCAACAGAAAAGCAAAGGACTATATAAAGCATTACCTTTTCATCTCATCCCCGTCCACCTCTTCTTTACACATCTCCCCTGTCTCCATTTCCTCAGCACACTGTTTCCCATTCTTGACTTTTTGCATAAGATCCCCTTTAAGGAACTCTGCCGCCTCTGGGGTTGGGAGAGCATGGTCAATGACAGTCACATCCTTCCCAGCTTTCCAAAGCTTGTAACGATCTGGCTGGTACTTCCTCACAAACACATCCATGGAAATCTTCACCATGTCCTTCCGACACGAGCACTGAAGTCACAGAAAATATTCAAGTAAGGCCACATACTCAACAATTCTACTCTGCATTCCTGTATGACTTTTCTTTCAGGATCTTAACTGAAGAAAAAAATCCCAGTGTTGACCCTCAGAACTAAAAACTCTTTCACAGGAAATCAAAAGGGCATATACTAAGTTACTAAAAACTGGGCAGAAAAACCAGCAAAAAATGACAAAACAGAAAACCAGATGTTATCACAATAACTAAGAAAGAAAGCTCACCAACCTATTTACAGAGCTGCTGGTAGAAGCTGACTGCTTCAAATTGTGCTTATACAAGAACAGTCAGCAAAACCAGAGACTATAACAAGGAAGTCAGAACCATACAAACTCTGGGCCTACCCTGAACAAGAGAGGTTCCCCTCACCCAGGCATGGTTACAACTAGTGCTTTAAAGCATTCACTTCAATGTAACTTCCGAAAACATAACCCATGTTTGTAAGGCACCTCTATAGGGATATAACACTATCCAATCTAAAGGTTCAGCCAAGATACTTACTTTGATAAGTGACTTAAGTTACCGAAGTCATACTTTCAGGCTAAACAGTCAATAAATAATGGTTAAAATACCAGAAAAAAATACTGACAAGTCCTGACCTCCAAGCACACCCTTTCATCTTTGGAAAAAAAAACAGTTCCCTGCTTTTCTTTGAAGCCTCACTTGATCTACACAAAGCTAATGAACACGTTATATGCTATCCATAGTCTAAACAAGGATGTGAAACAGGAGGCTGACTGGACCTTGCTACCATATCAGAAAGCAAAGATCACATCTTAAATGGACAAAGCACTGACTTCACTCCCTTAGAACAAACACTGGGGGCTTAATGAGCAGCAAAGCATTAGGTTATTTGTATGCAACAGGATGGCAACAGATCACTTACCAGTACAGACTGCTTCCCATACTCAATCCACCGAAGAGTAGCAAAGTTGGTAGATTCAGCACAGTTAAAGCCATGATTAAAGCCAGCATGATAGCTATAAGGAAAGGTTATCATGAACTCTCCAGCCTCCTGTGTCACCTAGAAGATAATTGAGACACCGCACTGTTATTCATAACTTGAGAGTCTACTTGGCAGATCTGAATAAAAGGAGCTCCCGTATCCCTCATGCAGTGTATCTGAAACCCCCACCCACAGATGGTAGCTGGAGTTACTTGCTGCAATGGATGGACTTGATACTTACCTTCACTACTCTCCTACTTACATTAAGTATCTGTTTACTGAAAAGCAATACTCAGTTTTTTACTAAAACACAAACTGGTCAAAATAGTGCAGAATATGAAATAATCTGTGATAAACTATCTGAAGGTCAAAGGTACTTATCTGTATCAGCTACAGGTTTGGCCCAACAGTATTCAAGGCCAAGTAAAATTTCTATCCACACACAACTTGGAAATTTACTACTGTTTTCTTTTGCTGTAAGTATTCAAGTACCACTCTCTGTCAGCCTTCCACTACTGCTGTTCAGCATTTCCCCACTGTCTTACAAAGTTTCATGACAACAAAGCCCTTCGGCTGCCCATGCAGATGTAACAGTACTTCTGAATAAGGACTCAAAGACTAAATCTTCAATGTGTGTGTGTGTGGGGAGGGGGGGTGTGGCAGATTACCACCTGAGAAAGTAAGGAAGTCTATAAAGTTAATAATGTAATGAAAAAAAATTAATTGGAAATAAGCTGCATTTTCTACTGAGGAAGCAGATCACAACAAATGAAATTAGCAGGGCACAAGTCAAACAAAAAGAGAATGATCTCTCTTCACTGAACACACAGCTAGCAGTGAAGTTAATGTAACGCAGGCTGTTGTGTATAGTTTTAAAGTTTAAAAAAAAAAAATAATCACAAAAGACAGAGCTTTTGTTTTTAATAGTCCTTGATAGGTTTTTCTGTCTCAAACTCTGAGACCTCAACTGCCAGATAAATGGAGGTACAGTGGGAAAGGATTGCCTTACACCCTCCCTGTTCCTATTTTCCTCTCTAACCATCCGCTGTTGCCTGCTGTTAGAGATGAGATGGGGCTGCATAAACCTCCTGACTGAGCTGGTATAACCGTGATTACTTTTCTACACCTTATCAAATGGGATGCCATATTTCTTCAGAATTGATGGAGAGATGAGGGTCATCTTGTGACGAAGAAATGCTTCACAGCTTTGGGCACTTCCTGGAAAGAAACCTGTTAAAAATAAAGGCAAGGAGAGGTGTTACTGTTCTGCTGTGAACTAAACTAATTTTCAGTAATTTTCAGGAAAAGTTACTGTCTAAACAGTATTTTTCCCTAGGCCTACAAGTATGGACCACGTTATTTGAAGTGTGCTAGCTTACATTCTAAAGAAACAACTCCTGGACATTTAACAGATGCCAGTTTGAAAGAGCGTAAGAAAGACAGCATATAGAAGGATCTTCCCTTGGCTATAACCTTCCAGTTCTAATAATCAGCAGTTACAGATTTTCTCATTAAAAGTTAGACAGAACACAACTATATCTGGCATGTGACATTTCTCTTGTGGATATACTACAAACAAACACTCAGAAGTAAAAAAAAAAAATCTATATTCTAAAAAGCAAATTATCAGTTCAGTCGTGCCAGCCTGCGCTCTTATGAACGTTACAGTCATGTCGTACTCTAAAAGAGCTGAAACTCATTGCGGCTGTTCATCCTGCCTTCTGCAAAGGGCAGGACATGAATTGCCTGATTACCTTTTGCAAGTCTCTCCAGTCGCTTCCCATGCTCTGGAGGGATAGAGTACCTGCAGTCATAAGAACAAGTCTGTTAAGTTCAAGTGACATGACAAAATCTCAAAGTTTGACTGGAAATCATAAACGGGCAGCAATGTATGAATTACTTAAAAAAAAATCCTCTGTCTCTACACTGTCTCTTTCAAAGTTCAATGACATAAAGCTAAAAATCTTTAACAAGGACTTTTACCTCTCTATCCCAAGAAAAATAAAGTGCCAAAAGCTGACCATCTCCTCCACTGACTTTTACTTAAACAGTCAAGGAATTAAAAAGTCTGATGTATTTAATTAGCAGATCTGCATAGCAAAACATCAATTATGAGAAAAAAAAAAGGGAAGAGCACTTTCCCAACCCGTCTCAGTTCACAGCCATGCAATCGCTAGTATACTCAGAGCAAGGAGGAACACAGAGCAAGAGAGAAAACAGAATAATCTCTTTCAGCTGCTCAGGGACTAAGTCAGATGCAATGCCACATCCTTAACATGTGCACAGCTTGCAGCATCCTCTTTAGGGCTATGTCTCTCTCTGTACACACCTTTTTTTGGGTGCCACAAAACTCCTAGCTGGTTTGACTAGAGTGAATAAAACCACTTACTTAGCCTGCTTTTGCTCTGGAATAGAGTGCTATATGCTTGATGGAGTCCCTTATTAAATAAATCAGACTAAGGTATCAGGAAAGTTAACTTCTTTCATGTACTACTGTAAAAGAAGCAATGGCCAAAAAGTTTATCTGACTGAACTGTTCTGTTCCATGTTCCCATGCTATTGCCACTACATGGGGTTGTTCACATGGTGCCGGCTATTATTTTTGACTTCAAAGTTGTATTAAAAGGCAGCCAAAAATACTAGCTTCCAACAAAAGTGCCATGGAAACAATTGTTGAAGTTGCTTGAGAAATTTATTTGTGAACAGAAGGGAATGATTCACTCTTAAAATGCTACAGAAAAATTCGGGAGCCTCCTCCAAAAACAATCATGAAAGCTCAGACACTGGATGAACCACTCAGCAAGATCCACTAGCCTGCTTTTAGATCTATGATCAATAGCTACATTTCAAAGTCTGTTAAAAATTGCCTGTTCCCCTAGTGCCTGTGTGTTAACAGGCATTATTACCTCTGCATGGTCATTTCAGAGCCTCAGGAAACCATAAGCAAGTTTTCCAAGTTCTGGCCCTACTGCAGCAGAGAGTGTCTACCCTGTATTATAATTCTGAAGAACTCTTTATGTCAGGATAGCACATAGACTTTCTAGAATGTAACCAAACAACTTCTACTGATGACATGTGCTGCTCTGCAGTTCCTTACAGGTTTCTAGTGTTCTTGTCATCAGATACAACTGCAGTGCAAGACTGGAAGGATGGCAATTCCTTTAGTCAACTCTAACTGTGACTTTGACTCCAATATTTTACGGTATTGTTTTTCTACATCTAGAAGCTTCCCCAGAAAAATCTTACCATGACTTGGGTTCCCCAAAATGCAAGTAATTAATACTGTAGAGATCCATGTCCTCGGTATGCCAAGCAAAGGAAGTTTTCCACATGCCAAAATACAGGTAAGGAGTATTTACTCCTTCAATGGTTATGCCGCTTTCATTCTCCACAATATCCAGGATCGTGTTTAATCTGCCAATATTCCACGCATCTACATGCTGTGAAACACAAGCTTCCTGTTAAACAACCATTATGAAGAACAGAACCACATAACTAAGGTGACAGTTGCAAAAGCTATCAGACACTTGTGAAACAGCACATCAAGACAAATTATCTGCTGGCACAGCTCAAACCATAAGCTAGTTCACCTAAACCAAAAGTTTTGCACGGCATTAGCTTACATACTGATTGTTTTAGCCACCTTTGTGGAGAAAAAAAAAAAGAGTTACAGGCCAACATAGTGATCAGGAAGGAGAAATAATCACGAAGCAACAGACTTCACAGAGCTGAGAACAATAGTGTGAGCTTGAGCTGATGTCTCAACCCTCTTGAACAGAAACACTTTTCATTCCAAACATCTTTTTTAAAAAGAGTAAATCATCATAATGTAGGAGACTAGCAAGCAGAATGTATACCCTTTTCTAATGTTTATCATCCTAACACAAAATGACTACAGAGCTGTCCCACAAGAATACATGCACTAGCGGATACCAAAGCAGTGCATGTCCGCTGATCCAACACTTCCAACTCTCATACACTCTTCAGGACAAAGCAGTGTAAAAGCAACACTTACACAACAGTGGTTTTTGCTTTCTTGAACTAAAGTGTATTACACTGAAGCGCTAACAAAGGTCCCTTAGAACATTACCTCTATTAGACTTCTTTAACTATCCAGGTTAAATGGAGAGTATATGAGAGACATATGGTTTATTGTATTCGTGTCTACTCCAGAAGTTGGAGCTCTGCTATGACTATCATTAACTCTTTCTGAAAGTTAAGAGTCAAATGCTACATTAGTATTTATGAAATGCAATATACAGGGATAACCATTGCTTGAAAACCAAAACAGTTTTCTTACCTTGTCATAGAGTGTGCCATTAACATCAGCACCATAAATAGGGGCATTGAACGTAAGGTTCTTCCAGTATTTGCGTTCAAGGTCTTCAAAGTCTGTGTAGCGGGGTGTGCAGTACCTGAAAAAACAGCAAACATAGTAAAGACGTTGCAGTTTGACATCTGACGAGTCTAAACCAATGTTTTCCACCACTGAAAGAATCGAAAGTTACAACAAAAACAGTTAATGCATGTTATTAGTCAGATCCCTAATTCCCACAACAGCAATGAGAGCAGCCACAGCTCTGTTCCTGTGAGACTTGGCAACAAAGTATCAGGAAGAAAATTATTTTCCCATTTCTCGGTTTACTTTCATTTTTGCTTTGTGCACTTCTCTCAGGTCACAACAATTTCACTTTCTAGTTGTTGCCACTTAGCAAGGAAGGATGTAGTCAAAAGAAGAAATGATACAAAGAACAACTTGGGAAAAAACCCAAACAAAACCAAAGTTTTCTGCCACTGTAAAAGTAACAAGTATTTCCAGACTCACCTACTAGTACACCGGTCAAGAATGCTCAGTTTACCAACAAAACACTTAATTTTGATGTCCACTCCCCGCTAACTATACACTGGCCTCTGCAGCACTGGGGGATCAAATTTACACTCTAACACCTATTTAATAGGTGCCTGTGTGCATATATATATATTCCAGACAATTACAAACATAGTATAAAAGACTAATTTTAATTAAATTATTCTATTAGAGAAACACAATCCTAAGATATCTGATGTGTACTGCTTCAGTGGACCGACTGCAGCTGGCAATTCCATTGCTATTTCTAAACGGTTATTTCAAAGGCTGTTTTGCTTAAACTCCTTTTAAAGAGATCTTTTCTCCGTCTCCTTCTTCACGTCAAGAACATTCCTTTCTCTACCACTCTACTCAGTAAATCTCTCAATGGTCTGGGTACGGGGGACAAACAGACAGGAGTCCACAGCAGAAACAGAAAGCTCTGCCGGCATTACATCCCCTCTCAGCAGGTGACACAAGTGACCAAGGCCCCCATCTGCACAGCCAGTTTCACAAGCACATCTCACCCGCCCAGGGCGTTACGTTCACGCCTCTGACCAGCACCAGCCCGCAGCAAGGACCCGGCCCTGGGGAGTTCGGGCAACGGCAACTCCCGCAGTAACTATTTGCGGAGAGACGCGGACGTACTTGTCGCTGTTGGCGATTCTTCTGAACTCGCGGACCGTCATGGCCTTCTTCTGGATGTTGTACTGCGTGAAGAGGCCGGAC